AAAGGACCAACTAAATGATCGCCAAAAATACCAGCCCAAACGTTTAATTTTTGTGGCTGCTGTGTATGAACCTCATGATAAATTCTGGGATTAGAATCGGACCAATATCGGCAGTTATGACGATTTACTACGCCATTTAAGAAAACGGAACATTCGTTGGAAAAGCAAGTGTTGAAAAGGAAATGTTCATCGTTTATAATTCGTTCACTCATATCTTCACAAAATTGTAATCGCCCATCAAAATCGTCTTCATTAAGTTCTTGCACCATTGCAAATTTTATACGGATGAAAACTATGGGCCTTTAGAATCCGTTGGACAGTACGTCGACTAACACCACACACAGTCTCCAATTTGCGGGTACTTAACGTAGGATCTACATAAACTTGCCCTAAAAGCCCACTTCTATTGCTTCGTTCCTTATGGGATTTTCAATGTTGCGATTTTATTGGCGACTGACCCAGTTTCCCGAAATTTAGCTACAAGTTCTAGAACATATTTTCGATGCACGTTACTGTTCTCATGTCGCTTATTAAATATTTCTGCTGCTCTATTAGCGCACTGATTATTTCCGAAAGATATTTCGATAATTTCAACTCTTTCTTCTGTGGAATATACCATGGATAATTTATGTAACAAAGCTTTACAAGTTATTTTAGCAACAAAGTTTGATCAAATCAATCGCGAACTATGTACTAAATTCCTATTTAAAATAAGTACGAGATATTTCCTTATCTTTCTTCAAGAAATAACTGTTTTGTCACAAAAAACGCTCCAATAGCTATTTTCAACAACAAAATGATAAACAAACCATGGGCGTAGTGAAGAAAAGCATTTACTTATTAAGTAAATCCTTTTATTCAAATTTCTTCTGAAAGTAGTACAAGCTAATCTGATGTACCTATTAAAGTCTACTTTTAGCTTTAAATCAATACATTTTCAAAACTACTGAACTGAAGTACATTAATTTTATATCATTATAAAGGGAATTGAAAGACCTTTAAAATAAGGTATCACTCGACCCCCCTTTCCATTTAAGATTTTAGGGTTGGTATCACCCCGCCCAGCGGGCTGCTCGTGTTAACGTTATTTTTTGCCAAACTTCTGTCCCCCTCGAAAAAAAAAATCGACGGGTCTGAGCGTTCTTCCAAAAAAAAAAAACTGAGCTGCCAGTAAATACGTCTGTTTCGTTTTCGATGCGCCACCCTGTATATTCAATTCCGCCATGGTGACTATTGAAATAATATCTTTCTACAATAATTTACTTCAGTACGTGATTGTTTTTTGAAAGCCAAAAGTTTGCAGTAATGGTATTTTTGCCCAAAATTCGCCCATTTTCCAATATTTCGCTTTTAAGTTTTATATGAGCGCATGATCGCAATACTTTCTAGAAATTAAATCTATAAAACATATATAAAAAACATAAACATTGAAAACAGTCAAAACAAATTCACACGCAATTGCAATAAGACATCAACTTAAGTCTTTAAAGTGAGCGAATGGAGTAACACCAATTTTTATATACCATATATGTTTTTGTGTCAGTGTTTCTTTATATATATATATTTGAAGTTCAAAGTCAAATATTCGTATACCGGTGTGAAGATTAAACAAAAATTCCAAAATTGGAATTGGAATTTGAGTTATTGTCATGTCCAAAAACCACGCTTATAGTATACATATACGTATATGTATATAACCAACTCTCTTTTTCTTACTGAAATATTACCTACCTATTACCTACAAAATTGTATTTTTAATGGCTGAAATTGAATGTTGATATCTATTTCTCAAATATGATGTTGTTCACCTCGTTTATTCGATCATCTTTTTTTGGGAAAAACGTATTTGAAATTGATGGGAGCTAATTTAAATTCCTTGTATTTCCCAAAGAAGAAATATCAGTCAATAGCATTTGATTTTTTCGGATGCTGATAGATTTCATGTCAAACTGTTTTCTTCGTATAACGTATATCGTAAGTTTATTCTCCATAGCAGAAGCAGAAAATGACGTTGGAAAAGCTCATTACGTCACACTCATTAAGTCACAGTTTTGGCGCAAAATTTACGTTTGAATCTTGGAAGGCAATGCAACTGCAACAACATTCACACAGTTTGTTACCTACACTGGGGCCACAATTTATCATTATAGTATATTGATAAGGCTTTCAAGGCTTATTTAGGTCAGAAGTTTAAAGCTAGTGTCAAGACCCTACCTTTAAATTATCAAACGGCAATTTTATAATATTAGATAGTTATGCGCTCTCTTAGCTGTTTATAATCCTTATTCTATTTCTATATTGCACAATTTGTCTTAACCCTACGTCACTATTCATGTTCTGTTATATTTGCCTATATATACAGGGTGTTCCATAATTATTGCGACAAAATGATAGGGGTTGTAGAGGGCATCAAAATGAACAATTTTGCCTTATAAACCCCTGTTCGGAAATATGCCGTTTGGGATGCAGCAAAAAAAAAGATCAGTTTCTTGAAACAGCTTACCTACAGTAATTGCTCAAAGTGTCCTCCACCTCAATACACAGCTGTGCACGATTGTTCAATGATCGGCGAACTCTGTGGCATACCCCCGGTTTGTCCTGAACATGTGCGGACGCGGCCATCACTCTTCCCAGTAGCTCTTGTTGGTTGGGAACAGTAGTTTCGTACACTAAAGCTTTCAGATGGCCCCAGAGAAAATAATCCAGTGGGGTCAGGTCGGGTGACCGCGCAGGCCAAGGCACAGGGCCATCTCGGCCTATCCACCTATTTGTCGTCCAAATACTGCCGCACTTGTAAAGAAAAGTGGGCTGGAGCGCCATCGTGTTGAAACCACGTGTTGGCTCTTATGTTCAGTGGCACATTTTCTAATAGTTCCGGTAGCACATGCTGTAAGAATCGACCATAAGCATGCCCATCCAAACGTGGTGGAAGCAAATATGGCCCGATGATATGCTCGTCCACAATGCCGCACCAGATGTTAATTGAAAACTATGTTGGTCTCTATGGATGGCTATGGCATGAGGGTTTTCTTCATCCCAAATGTGACTGTTACGGCTATTAAAATAACCGTCCTTTGTGAAACAGGACTCGTCAGTGAACAAAACGTAGCGACCAAAGTTTGGTTGCCTCAACTCCTGCTGCAGCCACCAACGACAAAAACGTCGACGCGGCAGATAGTTTTCTGGACCCATGGCTTGGACTTTTAAAAGGTGGTATGGGTGTAGTTGCTGGTCATGGAGAACCCGCCAAGCAGTAGTTTGAGACGCTCCCATTTCGTGTGCAATAGCACGCACGCTTGTACGCATATTGGCCTCTAGTTTGACGCACCACTCAGATAAATTAAATGAATCGGTGTGGAGAATTTACGATAACAAAAATGTAAACACAGCAGGCTTTTTTTTACAAATCGGCGAGACCATGAAATGTGCTAGACGAACATTTTGCAGCTGTTGAATTTTTTGTTTCTCTTAAGGTAAAATTAGCGGTAGTGCTCAAACGGCATATTTACGAACAGGGGTTTATAAGGCAAAATTGCATATTTTTATGCCCTCTACAACCCCTATCATTTTGTCGCAATAATTATGGAACACCCTGTATATATATATATATATATATATATATATATATATATATATATATATATTACTTGTTAATTGGGAAATTGGCAAAACTTTTAGGCTTAAGTTGACTCTTTTGACGATAAAATCAAGCTTTCCGCATTCTCTATGGAGCCATCATCAGGATTCTGAAAACACAATTGTGATGCTAGCAAAGAAAACATGACAGATTTGAAATGTCAGACAACTTACTCGTCGGAGAGGTTGCAGCCACAAGGTGTTTCAGGAAGAACGTAGAGAAGATCGAACTTGTGTTCAGTACAAAAATAAAAGGACGGGGACATTGGGCTTGTTGAAAAACGACAGATACCTTCGTTAAAAGTTAAGAAAAAATAAAAATTATATCACTACACCCGAACAAGTTAAAAATATTACACGTGGGGAGACAGGAGACAATCGGAATGCAGTCCCTAACCTTCTACTACCGCTACACGTGGAGAGGGGGAAGGCACGGAACGGTAAAGCGTCGACAGAAGACAAGTGATTGATGCGACGGACCGTGGAAATGAACACCTCCCTGTCCAACTTTGGGTATGAAGTATACGAGGGACGCTCGGTAAATCTCCACCCAAAATTAACAAAATGCTGGAATAACTTGTTTTGGAAAAGAGTGTGTGGTTCATATGAGTGCAAGAATGTGTGATATTGATACAACCTTGAAAAGATGGGTTATGTTAGTTTATATTAAAAATGTGAGTGAGAAAATGTATTCTATTTTTGTGAAGATTGGATCAATTTGGACATGTAGCCGTTCTAGCTTTTCGCAATTCAACATGTAGGAATAAATGACACTGAGCTGCTTAACATCAGCCTTTTTATTCATGCAATGATCTGTCATGAAAATGTGGGACATTTCTAAAAATAAACGTTTTGAGAGTTTTTTTCTTTATCAAGAACCTCAATACTGCCATAACTCATAGAGTGACTTGTGTTGTTAATATGCGACGCCAAACCACATCTTTCTGGATGTAATTATATATATATATATATATATATATATATATATATATATATGTTTTCCTCTTATATTTTATTGTTTCAAGTAGAGTAGCTTCACGCTAGGCTTCGCCATATATTTATATAACTATGTATTGTATATGACAGTAATTTAATAATTGCATAATAATAATAATAATATTCCAAAGAATACATTTTTTTGAAAACGATCATACGATTGAAAAACATTTCCACATAAGCACAATGCTTAGAGCTACTAGCGTTAGTCGACTGGAAGAAGCTACTTCTAGCTCCTTTGCCAGTTTTCTCTACTAAATATTTTTATTTAACATTTCTTCATTTTTTAGATTAGTACTACGGAAATAACTAAAAGAATTGCTCTTTTGGTAGTGGTGCTCCTCGACATAATATGTTTCTTTTCGCAGGTGAGAAACAAAGAATAGACAGAGGATACGACTTCACAGGAGTTCTAGAATGGTTTGGGGAACGAGTAGATCGTATTATACTCCTTTTTGACGCACACAAGGTACCATACCTGGAAGATTTTATGGATGTGTCTGTGCTAGTCAGTGAAATGCTTGAATCACAAAAATCAGATTGATGTTCAACCTAAGGAACACACGCCCATTGAGATGAAGACAATCTTCCGCTGGATTTTTTTATTACCTCGTTTGTCATTGACAGTTTTGTCGCTTCACCTCAATGGGCGCGCATCTTAACATTAGTTATATTTTTCCATTCTCACATCCTCTCTGTTCGTTGAAGCTCGACATATCAGACGAATTCAGACGATCCATAGAAGCCTTAAGGGGTCACGACGACAAAATCAGGATAGTTCTGAATAAAGCAGATATGATTGACCATCAACAGTTGATGCGGGTGTATGGAGCCCTAATGTGGTCCTTAGGCAAAGTACTTCAAACTCCTGAAGTTGTCAGAGTTTATATTGGGTCGTTTTGGGACGAGCCTCTGAGGTAAGTTACGTGATGCAACTGACGACTGCAGACCGACATCAACCAAGTGTTCACACCAACTAAACGGAAAATTGTTTACGAGAAATTATCTATCTCAAGAAATATGTGTTCATAAACGCCTTATATACGATTTACCTTCCAATCAGGATGCTCTAGAACAAATATGATGTATTTTCGTTACATCTTACTAGTAAGTAGTCAGCGGCTTTTGTCCACAACTTCAAAACAAGACGGTTGCTTGGATGTTACTTCAGTGATAATAATAATAATATAATAATAATCTTTATTCCAACAGGATTGCACTCAATTACTCAATAATAAACATCAAGCTCTATGCTCTTTTGTATAAAACTTCATTTTCCAAAATGCACTTAAAACATGAACGACAAACAGTACTACAGGAAATAAAATATAAACATGAACATGAATGATGGCAAAATTGGCACAAACAATATATATATCTAAACATCACGGCTCCATTTGCAAAAATAAACATTACTGGTTAAGTACCGCATATGTTTGCTTAAAACTGCTTAAAATCACCTGAATGGTATCATTATTATTATGCAATAAGTGTCAAATACATCGCACATCTTTTCAACAAGAGATATGTCCGATATGTAGGTTCTACCCCTAGTAGTAGTAGTAGTAGAAAGATTTATTTAGCACTTTTGGCTACAGAATAATTGTAAACAACTTATAACTAGTAAATTCAAGCCATATGGTGTATGATGTAAATGCTGGGCAACCTATAATTGTAGATTTAACAAGTGATTTCTCAATTTTACTTTAAATTTTGTCAAAGTTTTCTGGTCTTTTATCTCCGAGTATAATTTATTATATTCAATCAACCCTTGATGGAATACAGATTTGTAGCATATGTTATACTTTTTGGTCATTAAATGGAAGTCATCTTTATTTCTGGTATTATGTAAATGATGGTCGACATTTGATGATGTTAAATTAGTTAGACTTGATAGAAATATATTATTTTTTACTTTATAAATGAATATCATTACAAGATATTTGATAAAATTTTTTACATTGAGCCATTTTAATTTGCTAAGCATTTGCCTAATTGGAGTATATTTATCTTTATTTAGTATTATTCTCATGCACTTATTTTGTATAATTTGCAGTCTTTCAAAAATGGAATTATTTGCTAAATATAGAATAGTCGAACAGTACAAGAAATTTGGAAGAATGATGGTATTATAGATAATTTTTCTGCTATATGAACTCAGACATCCAGAAACTCTCGATAAATATCCCACTTTACTACTAATCTTATTTATAACTTTTTCATAATGAATATCAAAAATTAATCGAGAGTCAACAAAAACTCCCAGGTATTTAAACTTTTCTACGAATTCAATATCTTCACCATCAATATTCAGTTGAACATTTGTACATTGTTTTTTTCCGATTAACAAGGCTTTCATTTTACTTGCATTTTCGTCTGTTAGATGCTAACCATTTTGAGACAAGCTTCAAGTCTTCATTTATATAAGAGATACCAGACTGAATATTTTTAGTACTTATATAAATCATAGTGTCATCGGCGAAAATCTGAATTTTGCATTTTTTGACGATGGCAGGTAAATCATTTATATATAAAATAAAAAGAAGTGGTCCCAGGATACTGCCCTGTGGAACACCCAACGTATTTTCAATTTTTGATGAAATAGTGTCATTAACTTTTGTAACTTGCATCCTTTTAAACAAATAATTTCTAAACCAATCTAAAACACTTCCTGTTATACCGTATGCCTTCAATTTACCTAACAAAATATCTCTATCAATCGTTTCAAATGCCCTCTTCAAATCCAAAAATACTGCTATGACAACTTCCTCTGAGTCTATGGCTCTTCTCCAATTCTCAGTTACCAACTGGAAAGCCGTTTCTGTGGAATATTTTTCTCGAAAGCCTGCTTGCGCCTCCAATAAAATTTTGTTTTCTTCTATAAACTGCATTAATTGGTCATGCAGTATGGACTCTAATAATTTTTCAATGTCTGGTAACACATTTACTGGTCTTATATCGCTGGATCTTTCAGAATTTTTTATTTTGGGAACTGGTGTTATTGTAGAGCATTTCAAATTTTCAGGAAAAGAACTGCTTCTCAGTGAACAATTGATCCAATTTAATACAGGATATCACAAAATTTCGAAACAGTTGGTCAGCGTTTTTAGTAGTGATTTCGGCACAGTTGTTAATGCTGTAAAAAGTTGCAATAGAGCGAGTTGTTCTATTTGGCACCAAAGAGTTGATTTTAGATACTGATTCCGGGCAATCAAGTTTATTATTAACCAAACTATGGAGCACTGTAATATCATTCAGCTGACGACGGTAAACCAATGTATCAAAATTCATGACTTGAAGCATTTCGTGAGGGATATGGCATAAACTTTGAAATTCATGTATTTCAGGCTCTTACGCTTCACAGATTCATCAGAAATTGCATTTTGATAAATTGGCGACCAAACCATTGCAGCATATGCCAGTTTAATCCTAACAAGAGACGTATATATTGTTTTAAGGCTATTCACATCAGCAAAGACCGGTTTCTGACACAGTATCCTAACATTCTATTTGCTGACGTGACCATTTTACTTCTATGGTCAGAGAACGTCAATTTACTGTCAAATATCACCCTAGATCTTTGAATATCTGGCATCTCTCTAGCCTGGCAGACTCAATGTAACAGGATAGGATTAAGCTTTCGAATAAAGCTCATAATTTTACAATTTGCTATGTTTATATTAACTTTGTTGCCAAATGCACCAGTTATTTACCAACCTATTCAGGCCTTACAATTCCATACGCAACGCAAAAGCAACTCAAAAAAGGAGTTTAAAGCCAAGTTTCTGTTGGGTTGCTTTTGGTGTGAACAGTGCCTAATAGAACAGCTCGTCCCGCAAGGATGTTTTTATACCCTTAGGTCCGGTCTCCAATCGCAACATGACTACTAAATAGAAGTTAACTCTCAAAAAGCGTTCTTCCAATCGCGGTAGTTAGGTTCAACCATAGGATAAAGCTGAGGCCAAACGGCGATGTGCTTGACACTGCTACAAGTTGACACTAGACACAAAAACCAAACATCACGAAACGGATAGGACACGATAATTGAGGCATAAAAGCAGCGTTGCCGCATCACCGGTTTATGTCTTTTTACTCAAAACATGAAAAACAGAATCACAGGCAACTCATATCTAACTTCCAAGTTATAGTTACCTAATATGAAAGTTAACCAGCGATTGAAAAATCGAACTTTAGTGGTGCTAAGTAAGTGAGAGATAGCATCAGGAAGACCATGCCTTATCTCATACAGTCTTGTATGGGGAGCTGTTTTTATAGGTTTCTACTATAGAAGCAATGAAACGTTTCAGGTTCGATATCAACCGACGACTATTCGAGGACGAAACGCAAGACTTATTCAAAGACCTTCAAAGTTTACCTAAGAATTCTGCGTTACGCAAGTTGAACGATCTTATAAAACGCGCCAGACTGGCAAAAGTGCACGCGTACATCATTTCAGAGATCAAAAAAGATATGCCCATGTTCAATAAAGAGAGCAAGAAAAAAGAGATCATAAAGAATTTGGGACAGCTTTATGAGAAGTTACAGAAAGAACATTCTATATCGATGGGAGACTTTCCGGAATTGACGAAGATGCAAGAAGCGTTGAGCAGGTATAAAGGGCGCGTTTAAGAACCGACACCGCTATAGCGCGTTGTGTCAGAGGCTATACAGGGTGTTCAAAAAATAGACGGAGATATTTTGGACAGTAATTCCTTGTTGAAAAAGTTTCTATAAACATGAGTCTGGAAGAAAAATAAAAAAAAATCTTTTTTTATTAATATTTTAAAAAGTATTCACTCGAGTTTGTTGTATTTTAGCATTATTATTTGTTGTATTCAGAGGTTAACTTAGCCCTTAATAAACTAAAATTATTAGGTTCAGTGGTGTTCCGGGGGGCACCTTAGCGAATATAATTTGTAAAATAATGTACGCCACTGCGTTCTTTGTAACTTTAACTTTTAATCTTTGATTGGGCGATTAAAAATACGACTTCTCTGCCTTGTGTATTTTTTTCGTATCCCTCTTCGTTTTCGATAAAAAAAAATAAAAGCCGTTTTATTGCATGTCACTGGACAAAATTGGTTTATTAATTTTAGCTTAAGTGCCTTGGAAAAAAATCACAACTTATAACAAAGAGTGTTATTGCAACTTTTCCAATAGGTACCATGACATAAAGTGCACTACAACAAATTGATATTTTTTTTAATGTATCACCCTGTATCTTGAAAACTCTGCATTTCCGGGCCCATGCTTATATAAACTTTTTTCCATATTTTTTAACAAGGACTCACCCTCTAAGATATCTCCGCCTACTTTTCGAACACCCTGTATAAATCAAATAAACATTGATATTAAGCGGTACAGTGCTGTCGTTCCCTAAATGCACCCAAAGAACGGTTACCCTGCCTTTGCTCAAACCAAATGCTTGTTTATACTAGAGCTGGGTCGGTTTTGATCGAGTCGTATTAAAGAAACGATACCGCAGACGTTGTAAAACACGATTCCAGTCATTGAATTGATTCCGATGGTTTCGATCCCGATTCCGATGATTTCGATTCCGATTCTGACGAAGCCGACTCATCCGTTGCGAAACTAGCTCTTGAAACCGAGTTGTACTTGAGCGAACTATTTTATTTAGATTTAGATTTTAATTCCATTGACTACAAACGAATAACGATATATATATGTGGTGTCCGAGGTCTGTAATTTAAGTGTGTTTTTCTTAATTTTCACAAAAAAATCACTACGGACAGCCAAATCACTCGAGCGAGTTCAAACTTGTACTGAAGGCTGATCACATGTTCCCCTGTCACCCGGCGCCTCCAGTGTTGCCAGGTCGAACGCTACGTTGCTAATCTCATCACTTAATTTACAAACCTTGTAGATGGTCGATGCGTGTAGGATCCATTTTATATTGCCATTTAAATGATAAATTCATTGCAGAAGATGAAACCGAGAGAGCCAAAATAGTATTACACAAAGGTAAAATGCAGGTTTAGTGATAAGGAGCATTTCAGATAACAAGACAGTATCTTATACAAAGAGGAAATTTATGAATTACTCCTTCGCTATCGAACTGAGTGTTACCCCCAAAACCGAACGATATAGAATATCAAAAGTTTTATAAAATTGCCAAAAGATCCTAATCGACATAACATTTTCGGAGGGGTACCAATACCCTTCAATAATCTTTCCAACCTGTTTGTGGAAGTAAAAGGAATCGTGAAAGAATCATAGGTATCGGGAATCATAATCATGAAACCGAATCACTTAAAGGAACGACTTGGCCCAGGTCCACTGTATACACATGTTCCTTTCTCCACAATGGTCCAAAATAGGGTGTACACGTTACTATATAGTAATGTTTAGTAACATTGTTGTCGAAACATTTTCAGGCACGACTTCACTAAGTTTCATTCGATCAAACCAAAGCTTTTCGAGGTAGTAGATGAAATGCTGACGAACGACATATCTCAGTTGATGGCCATGGTTCCTCACGATTGCAATCCCCTGCTTGAACAGCCAGTCAGTGGCGGAGCATTTGAAAACGTCGGTAAGAACTAAAAAGGAAGAAGAAACTGAATCTTCTCGCACCTTCTGCCTTATCGTAAGATCAAGACTACAAATATTACATAATCAGCATGCGGTTATAAAGATATTCACAAAAAATGTTATCTGGACTCCCGTCAGTCTGATTTGGTATAAGACGTCGCTACTAAGAATAGATCTCACAGCACTTTATGAGCCCATGTTCCAAAAGCAGCTTATATCAAAGTTCATTAGCAAAGAAAGAGGTTAAACTATAGTTTCCTACTACCATTGATTAACGTGTTCCACCTAACGATAGCCAACTATGTCTTCTGGCGTCAAAACAAGGATCTGAAAGGTACTTGCGTCATCCAGTCAGTAGCTGAACCGAAAATGAGTCAAAATGTTTAGATTTGCCACTGTCTCACAGATGGCGGTAGCACCTTTAACTCTTTTTGACCTCTCTAATGCAAATTTTAATTAGGTATCTCCAGATACCGATTGACATATCCCGTCTGAAGATACCAAATTCAAATAGGCATTTGCTAGAAAACGTTAATCAATGATCCTTCTAGCTTTCCGAAAATGCATAAAGGCTATAGGCGAAACAACATATAAAATTTGCTCCCAAAGGTATTCAAATCTGGGTCAATCTAATTTAAGATGTAGGGTCAAACCCTTACCACCTTAACCAAATTTTCAGATTGATAGGACGCCCAAACGCAAAAATATATATCGAAAATAATCTTATATACGCACGTCATTTTGCTCAAAAGACATTGAAAAAATTAGCGATGCTACATTGTATGTTCCGTATAATCGTGATTTTTTTTCAGAGAAGAAATTTTGTTTTTTTTTCGAATTCTTGGTTATGTAATGAAAATTTCGCAAACTTCAGAATCCACTTTATACAGGGTGTCCGCAAAGTTGGGGTTTTCCTTTTCAGAAACAACTACCCTTGAAATAACAAAGGTAATGTGTAGTGAAACGAGGGCGACCAAGTAAAAAACAAATATGGGAAAAGTACTCACTCTCCAGTTAACGAGAAGGGCCAAGTACGTCTCTGCCCGAAATCATACCACTCCAACAGATAATGAAATCAGCTGATGCGCTACCGAGCAGAAGCAGAAACCACATTGATTGTCTTACACTTAATGGCACATCTTCTAACAAGGAAGGCAAAATGTTGCGTAAAAAGTCTAGGTACTGCATCCCGTCCAATCGATTTGGGAGAATAAATGGTCTAATGAGCATACCATTCACCATGCCAGCCCAAACATTCACCGAAAATGTTTGTTGAAAATGTGCCCGACGGACAGCGTGCGGATTTTCTACTGACCAAACATGAGTGTTGCGAAAGTTATACACCCCATTACGCGTGAACGTAGATTCGTCTGTCACCAATATGCTCTTCAAAAAGTCCAGATTATTGTCATGTTGATGCAACAACCACTCACAAAACCGCACTTTTGCTGGAAAATAGTCAGGTTGAAGGGCTTGTACACGTTGGACGTGAAAAGGATACAGCCCCTCTTCACGTAGCGTTTGCCACACTTTAGTTTTTGATACTTGCACTTCTCTAGCCACGTCTCTAGTGCTTGTTGAGGGATTCTCGTCTAAGCGATTACCTCTACACGCGTGACCGTAACCGTCGGTTGAAGGTTGCATACTGACCTGACACACTGACCCCGACCCAGTCCTGTCGTCGGGTTGAGCCCGTGACCTTGTACCAGTCGGTGATGTCGCGGCTACAGGACGGTATTCAGATATATATGATGTTGCAGAGCCCTTTATCTCGGTTCCCTTAAGGCATTGGTGTATATGGTACTAAGAAAATTGCTTATGTTTTCAAGATCTACACGTCGTGTAAAGGAAAACCCCAACTTTGCGGACATCCTGTATAAGTGCCTTGCCTTTTTTAGATCTACTAACAGAATCAAACATTTATTTTTACCCGGAGCATCGTAAAAAAACGAGAAAAACGTATTTTCATTGATTTTTTCAACTTTAGGGAAAATTTTAGACTAGGATATGATAACATTGATAACTCAAATGTTCAATCCACACATACGTGTATAGTAGGTGTTTGAGTTAGCCAAGCATCGCTTCATTGACCTAAAACGTAAAAATTTGAAGAAATTCTGCAAAACTACAGTTTTTCCTTTTTCAAAAATTTCAGGACCACAAATCACAATTTTGACAATAGAAGCTCAAAGAATGGACAAAGACACATGCGCACATTGAGTTTTTGAATAAGCCAAGTTATATTATCTCATTATAAAAATGTCAAAAATCGAGAAAAGCCGGTGAAAATGCGGCTTTCTCGCATTGTGGCAACCTTAAGAACAAGAAATTATGGTTTCGAAGGAGCTGAAAAGAACGCAAAAAATATTTATAACAAATATTTATTCCTGTCCTGAGTTAGAACGTTAAAAAATGGAGAAAATCAGTGAAAATGCGGTTTTTCCTATATTCACAATTTTCCGGGTAACAAATCACAATTTTAGCAACGAAACCTAAAATAATGCACTACATATTTGCATTGAGTTTTTGAGTTAGCGAACTCATATCCTACTTTAAAATATCTAAAATTGGATAAAATCTGTGAAAAGAACGTACAAAATTTCAAATGTAAATCAGTTCTGACGAAGTACGTCAAAAACTGTAGAGCATGTGTGAAATTGGGGTTTTTCCTGTTTTCTCACTTTTCTAGGCAATAAACTACAATCATAACAATGAACCCTGAAAAAAAGGTAGAAAACTCATCCAAAGTTATGATATCTCATTCTAAAAATACGTAATATTGGAAAGATCCGTGAAAACGTGATATTTCTATTTTTGTTATTTCCCAGACAAGAAATCATTATTTTCACAACCGAACAGAAAAAAAAAACGTTATATATCGTATAATGGGTTACTAAGTTAGCCAACTAGAAGAAGAAAATCAGCGAAAATGCGGTTTTTCCGATTTTTTGCGATTTTCCGGGCCAAAATTAATGATTTTCTTACTAGTCTTGAAAATAACGCAAGAAAGCACATACTTCGAAGTTGAGTCATTTATTTTAACAGTGAGTAGATCTGATCAAAAGAAATGTTTTTTCCTTTAACATCTTTCTGGTAAAATTAAAGTAACACAGTTATAGCCCTTTAGAAGTTTGAGTACCGCCCTGTCTCAATAATAATATTATGTGCTCGTGTTTGGCAACAACGGATATAATCCGCCTTATCCGTTCATCGCATCGGAAACAAAAAAGCGAAAGAATTTGAAACGATGTTTTTACCAAAATGTACAATTTTATTCAGTTGTATTCAGTCGATGTGTCAGTCGGTAACGCGTGAGTGAATAGTGGTGTTTGTTGCGTGGCTCAAACGAAATAAAAAATATCACATGTTTACGAAAATGCTGAATGTAGTACAAAGGGCTCGTGAATCAGGTGACTTAAGACCTCACAGGGGAGGGCATGCCGGTGCTCCAAGACCGCAGGATCAAATACAGGTCCGCACTGAAATACTTGTCGGGAGGATACTTTATAAAACAAGGTAACATTTTTCATTTTTTTTTATTTTTACACACATATTTTGGTTTATCTTCCTTTTACAATCATTATCTGAAAATTAATGACTCAACTTCAAAGGCATATAGTGGATTTTTTAGTACACAAAAACCTCATAACCTAACCGATAATCGAAAAAATAATTTCTCCTTCCAGAAATCTATCTAAAATTGTGTCCCTATAAATTTTTTCGAAAATACACATTTTTGAGATTAGGGGCCCCTAGGGGCGACCTATCGAAAAATTCTTCACGTTAGTTTTTGGCGACATCGAACGGCAGTGCCCATTCTAATACGGACTGACCGGGGTCTGGAACTGTTAATGATACTTCTTGAGCTGAAGATGCGAATATTTGTGTTCTAGGCGTTTTCTAGGTGACGATAGTAGAATTCCTAGTAAAAAACTATAATGTTTATAGTGGACAAAGTGACTCCTTTTGGCTACAAGAGCGGTGAAGGAGTGAACGCAGGCTACGGAGAACCGGATTGGATCGTAAACAAAGAACGCGACGAATTTGATGAGCTTTTCGAATCATTGAACCCAATCGACGGCAAATTATCCGGATCTGTGGTCAAAGAGGAGCTGGTCAAGACCAAGCTGCCCAATGCCGTGTTAGGGAAGATCTGGAAGCTCTCGGACGTGGATAAGGATGGATATCTGGATAAGGACGAGTTTGCCCTTGCCATGCATCTGATTAACGTCAAACTGCAGGGCAATGAGATACCGGTTGAGCTGCCCGCACATTTAGTGCCTCCGAAGAAGAAGGAAAAAGTGTATACAGTAACGTGATGAAATAAATTTAGTCTATACATATTTTTGAATGATTCATGACTATGTGCTGATAGATGAAGTATATCTCGAAAGGTAAGTATTGTGGGAAAAGTTTTCCACACAGATACTGAGGCAACAATCGTAAGTGTAAAAGTAAGATCAAGGACGATCTTTCAAGGATTTGGCTAATTTCAAAAGTTGCCTTTTTAGTGCGATTGATCTTTTTTCTTTACAAAAATAATAAAGAGCGTGAGACTTTACTATTGACTATTATTTTTCCAACATAAGAATATTTGACAACTGATTTATTATAATATTCTAAACAAAAGATGGCGTCAAGTTGACTCTGCTCTTGCCACGCAACGGCGTGAACAGTTCATAAAGGGTTCTGCAAAACACAAGTTAGACAATATAGTTAGTCACGAACATACATACCAGAGAAATTTAAAGGATCAAGTCAGTCAAACAGATCCATAAAGTTTTTCGCCAAGACGTTGACTTAGTACTAGCGATTCAAACTAGAAGTTCCCTTCGTTTGAGTTGTACGTGTTGCCTAAACGTCATGATCTGTGAGTTTGGCTATGATGTGATGTATCTAGCGCTTCAGAGATGGCATTATATTCTAGATCTAAGCTGTAACTTTTATACTATAGACTACATTTGGAAGGAAAAGGCAGTGCATAGGCACATAGTGAGGAGGCGCGTGCTAATAATATGTGTTAATGGTAATTCCATTGGTTTCTTGTCTCAAATAGACTTACTTCAGATGTATTCAAAAGTTGAAATTAATTGCGCATCCACTTTTTATTATTCAACCTGGAAATTATATTATGCAAGTTTGCTGAATTTCAAAAACTGTGAGAGATCGCGGGTTGGTGAAGTAACAGGTGAGAAGATACTCTAGACAGGAATATTTATGAAAGTGAAAAGGTTGTTACATTATTTTTTTATTTCCAGTCGTTTAAGTTTTATAAAAACTTATTTTGCGATGTCAATAGAAATTACAAATGTTTGATCTGTGATGACTCATTCCTACGTTTAGAACACTATACTATAACTATCTAAAACTGTAATGACTCATCGATGTTCACGTGAACATCACTTAACTACCAGTAGTCGGCTGTTCATAGGCGGGGTATGAATGTTTAACATGGGTGAACTAGATTTGTCACATGCTTAATAAAGAGTGGTTTGAAACATATTGTAAGTCAAACATTTGGGAATTACCTTTATTCATCGTCGCTTCCACTTACATCTGACAGTAATAAACTGTCGCTATCGCTTTCCTCGTTGAAATTGACTATAACTGGCTCTATGATGGTGTCGATGTGGTGGTCAAGCTGCCACATTTTTGTTTCTTCCTTCACAACATGACGGATAGCATTCTGCCAAGCTTCGGGCGTTACTAGCTGTATGGAAGTCTCAAGTAAAACCTTAACGTCTGGTAATTTGAAGGTTGTGTTATGGCGCGCAATATAACCCATCACTTGAGCCCAGATGAGCTCTATTGGGTTCAGTGACACCACATTGACGGGCCATCTCATCAGTCACGTAACTAATGTTCGCAGGTTTGTGCTGTTTAATTTTTTCATACAATTCCGCTTTCACACTAGAATCGTCAAACGGGATTCCTTTTTCGCGCAACCATTGCTGCATGTCACTTTTTCGAGATCCCATAGTCGGTACACGTTCGGCTCGACGACTATGGTAGGAAGCATTATCCATGACGATCACAGAGTTGGGCTCAACTCGCTGAAGCACCCCTTGAAACCAGCTCTCGAAGCAGCTGGCATTCATTTCGTCATGGTAATCACCTCCTTTCTTAGAGACGAAAATCAAGTCACACTCTTCTAAAAAGCCACTATCGCTACTAATATGAGTTACGATCAATCTTTGACCTTTCCCATATGGCTCGTTTACACAGTGCGAGCTGCTGACTAGACAGTAGACAGCTACTTGGATGGTCTACTCGTATGCCAGTAGCTCGACTCGCCTTAGTTGTTTCCACGATGATAGTAGCTGCCCAGTATCTTCCGAGTTATCGCGATGTCGAGTCAACTTGCTGTGATTAAAAAAACGGTGATAAGGTCTATGACAATAATATTATGTGAAGAATTGGAAAAATCCTACAAAAAACTTCAAAAAAAGGAGAGGAAGAAAAAGGTTTGGATTAGAGATTGGATGGCAAGACGATCTATAGGGGCAAAATGTGCGATTTTCAAGGAGCTTTGTCATGAAGACCCCCGAGAATATAAAGCAGTGCTGAGAGTGACACCCGAACAAGTTGACAAAATTTTAAATTTAATAAAAATGAAAATAGAGCGTCAAGAGACTTTTATGAGAGATGCCATACCAGTAAGGGTAAAGTTAGAAGTAGTCATGTGTTTTCTAAGCTCAGGAATATCATACAGGCTGTTAGCAATATTTTTCAGGATTTAAAAATCCTCCATATCAAAATTTATTCCAGAAGTTTGTGACGTTATGTATGAAGCTTTGGACGAATATTTGCAGGTAAGTAGAAATGTGGTAAGTGTTTCATGAGTTGATTCTTCAAAGGTTCAGTTAACTTATTCAATGGCACATGTGTGGATCATACATAAATTCATTCATTTATTAAAGACAAACCAAGTCATACAAAATTAACACAAAACTAACACAGAGGATAAAAGTTATTGAATATTGTTCATATCATGATGCATTTGATGGTTGTCCAACAACTGTTTGAACTGGCTGCCGAGAAACTGTTTCTGCGGGCCGATCAGATATTGGGACAGGTCCTGGAATGAATCACTGGTTCACTGGATCCTGGTGATGTCATCGATATATAGGACGTTTGCGACGATGTATTATATGAGGAAAACGCAGATGTGTTTCGGGCATATATAGCTTTTTTCGGTATCGGGAAAGTACTTGTTGGATTTCATCTTTGGCGTCTATAAAATCGAGTAATGGCAGCTGTCTCAGTTGAATAGCGACATGTTTTCCAATAACATCGTACTCATGACATTGCTGAGAAAACAACTGGAAGTTTGTATAGTACTATTTAGTTGTTTAAGCTCATTAATAGCTGCTGCAATTCCACTCGTTTCTTGGGTACTTTATTTTATTTTTAACTTGAGCTGGATTTTTATTTTTGATCAACGAGCTGTCGCTGGAGTCGATTGATTTATTATCAGTTTTATCATCAATGTCCCGACTAACATCATCTTCCAAAATTTTGGATCCCGATGGTGTATCGTCAGGCTGAAATGAAAATACTAAATTAATATTTTTTCAGGTACGAGACAAAAAGGAATGGGAAGACATACAAGTAGGATTTCACCACAGGTGGAATTTTCCAGGATGTTGTGGTAATGAATACTATAATTATAAAGGAACAAACAGCTTGGTGCTCTTAGCAGTCGTGGATCATGACTATACTGTTTTAAATATGTGGACATAGGCTCATATGGGCGAAATTCCGACGGTGGTGTCTTCCAGGCTTCCTCATTGTATCCAGTGTTGGAAAATGGGTCATTACTGCCAGAAGGTGGATTCCTAGTGGGAGATGATGCTTTCCCTCTTAAGACCGCCTTATTGAAACGATATCCCAATGAGCCCACGATTGCCGAAAAAATTTACAATTACAGATTCACTAGGGCAAGACGCATAGTAGAAAATGCATTTGGTTTTTTAGTATCTCGATTCCGTATTTTGGCAAAACCTATCCAGTTGCAAGAGGAAACCGCAATAAAAATGATTCGAACTACATGTGTACTGCACAACTGGTTGCGCAAATCTTCACTTCATACCTACACACCACCTGGTAGCATAGATTATGAAGATATTGTAAATTTCACTACGAACCTAGGAACGTGGAGATCAGAAATAAATGCGTTACCAAGTATCGCCCGTTCGCGGATCAATAACAGATCAAAGATCGCAGCTGAAAAATTGAGAGAAAAATACAATTTTTTTTGTGATGAGGGTGCTGTCACCTGGCAAAATTATATGATTAATAATAATTAAATGTAATGAACTATCTCAGTGGAATAAAATATCAGGTACTCACCAGATTGCTTGTTGTTTCCTTTTCTTTCAAATTAATTGTTTTCATTATATAATCCATTATATCGAACCATTTTAAGGATGACTTGTAAACATTTTCCGACCCAGATCCACTCTTTTTACTTTTTTCGATTTTCGCGCGTTCTTGGTTATAGGTAGATCATAATTTTTTATTTTCCGAGTTACCTCATTGGTGTTAACTAGACTCATTTCGTTTGCAATGTATTGCAAAGATGCTTTTCTCATATCTCTATTTTTATGATTTTTATCAAAACAATTCCATAGGTTTTCTGGTTCTCTGTAGAGATTCATGAATGTAATATTATTCTCAGAAGACCTCCTTTCTGAGCCCATTTTGAATTGGGTAAACGCTTTTGGCGCAGCACACGTAAAATACAGCTTCTGCTTCCTAATTGCGGGCTGACAGTGGCGAGCTACTGCCGAACATGTCCGAACGATGCGAATGACGTCCGAGCTGTCGCCATATGCGCGTTGCTGTCGGCCCAGTAGGCGAGTGAAAACAAAAATTGTTGAAGTAACTCGGATGCGAGCTACTGTCCAACACGCACGTACGAGTTACTCGTAGGTACGTCCGGATTTATGCGAATTACTGCACTGCAGCTACTCGGCAGGCTGACTCGTACGCTAGCTCGCACTGTGTAAACGAGCCATGACGGTCCACGAAGACCTGTTGACAAACCTTCAATGCTTGCTTGTCGGTTACTCACTACGTTTTTGTCTATCCAGGTTTTTTTAACTGTGTGACCTGCATTTACCCATGTCTCGTCCAAATAATAGATTTTTCTGCTTTGTCGCCTATATTCAATCATTTCGCGTAGGTATTTTCGACGCCAGGCGACTTTTTCAGGTCTCTCTATCAATACTGACTTCCGATTACGCGTTTCGTAACGAAAATTAATTTCGTGCAGGGATTTACTCATTACCTCGACGCTCATTTGGGGTATAATTTCATTTTCCTTGATCGCTGCATGTACAGCCTTGAGGGTTGGTATCTTATTCCTAAAGAAGAATGAATGTACGGTTCGCCTTAACGCCATTTTGCTATCGTCATCCAATTTAACGGCCTTTCGTCCCTTCAAATTAAACTTTGGATCAGTAGCAGCTCCAGTTTTCTTCTTTTCATGCACCACCCTGCGAATGGTCCACTCTTGAACGCCTGTCATACTTTCACAACGCGCTAGTGCATCTCCCTGCGACATAGTTCTGTTCAGATAATTGAACACGTTGAGCACGATTTCTTTCGCGTCCCTCTTCAGTGCTTTACGAAGCCGTCTACTTGTTCCCTGGCTTTCAGTACTTCCACTCGTGCCATTTGTACTCTCCATGGTTAAGTATAACCAAAACAGTAACCACAGAAACCACAACAATAACAATCACACAACAATTCTTATAAAAACACACAATATGCGATCGCTCAACGAAACACGTTCCAATGCGTTGCCGACGCCTATGAGTCTGCCGGTCGAGGCGCGTCTTTGATTTCATTGGTTCTACCGGTGGAGAACAATCAGCCATTATTTCCATCTCTGTCTGTGCTGTTGACCACCGCAAAGCCACCGAAAAGACATATGTCGTACGCTATACGGCTGTACTGGAAGGAAGCCGGGATCGAGCTCTGATCACGTGTTGATCACGCGTATGAGTCATTACAGTTTTAAATAGTTGTAGTATAGCCTCGAGAACAACTGCTGTATGACAGCAATGTGTGAATATCACAATATTAAATTCAACATAAATGTACATTCTTTACACTACCTGGTAGATTATATGTATGTATATGTTTCGACATTGATCTTTGAATCATTCGAATACAGACTATAAATGCCTGCTAACTAGGTTTTTATACAGAATAACTACTTCTTCAGCAAATGGACCATTCAAATATTATGTAAGCATTAAAGAGTGATTTATAAAGTGGGGTTATTTTAGTGATTTCATGTTCAGCCAGTTACAACTATATCATTATTTAATTTTACTAATACTTTTACAATATAACATTTGATTTTTAGTATCTCTGACTGAAATGCCAGTGCTGTATCTATTTCTAATTCCAGTATGCTGCCATTTACTTTTTGTTTATCAATGAGGTCTATCAAAACTGAGTTATGATTTCATTTTCATTCTTTCTCAATAGAACTACCAAAATTAGAGCTAAATCTATTTAAATAATGTACTGTCTAACTTGTTATGTAGGAGAATATAGACAATCTTCAAACAATCATAATATATGGTTTTAATAATAAGTGCGACAATAGTGAAAAGTGGAAAAGGCATCTACAGTTTCAGAAACTGTGCTGGAGTCCTTATGCACTGTCAATGTTTCCTTCCATTGATACAATAGTTGGATACTGACCACTAGAATTTGAGTTCAACAAAATGCTAATTTGAGTAACATACAGAAGAAGAATTAATTCAATCACTGCAGATGAGAATTAACTAAGTGGAATCTTATATTTTATACTCACACATTGCAATTATATTCACTGTTCTTCTCAAAGTTTTTGAAAACACAACCGTAACTTTGAACATAACCTCTCTTCAGAAAGAACAACACAAATAACTCGTATGGCACAGCTAATAGATATACTTCATTAGGAGCATACTCAGTAATAATGTTCTCAACTTATCAAATATAACTTTTTTATACACATGCAGACCAATACAATCATCCAGATGCGGTCTTGCTACTCAACCAAACTTTCGTTTTTCACATTTTAAACGTACGTACACCTTGAGGTTAATGAACCACACTATGAACTAAGAACTATCATGCCAGTCATGCACAATAATGCATATTTGGTTAGAGAAGTACCTCGTATCCTTCAGATATTCGTTCATAGATGGATCGCGCTTACAACGATCCTGGTGATCAAACGTGGAACAACTGTTTGCACCCTAAAAACTATCTAGTAGTATCTAGTTGACATTATGTAGTTTTTTTTGATGTTTTGTATGTTTTTTACATGATACCCGAGCCGGTCAGACGCAACAGCGCGACAATTATACCAGAACACTTACCTAGAGCGGCATGCCGCCAGGAGCAGAAGCAGACGCGTATCGAAAGCATTTCTCTGTCATTCTAAATTTTAAGGGCAAATGCACGGGGAAATATACCTAACAGCTGCGTAGAATTACCGAGGTTGGAACGGTATAAATATACTAACATCAAAACAATGAGAACTCCACACTCCGAAATTTTTTTATTTTTAAGATTTTTGTCAAAGGTCCTCAGGATCTGGAACGTCAAAAAACGAAGTTTGAGAGATTTCTATTTTTTCATTTTTCTTCATCCAAATATGAGCGATACTTTTCAAGTTATAGACGAGTCAAGGGTATCATCTAATATCCAAAAGTCCAACCTTATTTTCTTAATTTTTCATTACAATACTTCCTCGGAGGTGCATGATGTAATTTGAGTCTTTAAACATAAATCTTGCAGAAATAAACCTTTTCTAGTAAGAATTGCGATGGAGTAAGGTGTTCCAATTTCTGAATAGATAAGGGAAAGCTGTTTCGTCGTGTCAGTCATAAAAATGTCATAATTACACCTACCCTACATGTGTGCATATCGCGTACTTTCTTTTCGGAAGCATTGTGCATATATTTTATACAAATTCGCCATGGTGATGAAGCTGAGTCAAAATTATATTTGTAAGTTTCGTGAACTGTAATTACAAGGAGGATACATAGTTCGTTTACTCTGCAAATTAGTTTTGACGGCCCACCTGCTGAGAGACAGGTGAAATCCCAAGCGTTCTGGCTGCCAAAAAACACGAGAAACAAACAACAGAAGGAACAACACGCGTTCTTAGCGTACATGTATACAACAAAACCAGGTTAGCCAAGTAAGTTGTTGCTCGACTTGCAGATCCAATGAAGAACAATGTTACGCAGCCAAAATCTTTTCAGGGTTCACTGACCTGTTGTGAAAAAGGGTATATAATTGACACAAAAAAAACTCTCACGTATGACGTTCACGATGTTCACGGTTACGCCACAATGTCATACTGAATAACTGTAACATGTGCATAGCTTGACTTGCACACTGCGCGCAAGCCGATCCGTAATGCGGCTGCTACTCGCTCTTACACACACACACACACATACACACACACACAGGATGTCGACATTATTGTTATATCTTCACGTACTACTATGTTTTATATCGACATTATGGGAAAACTTGAATCACACACCCATGATAAGCAAGTTGTCATATTGTCAGTGACAAGCACAAATGTGGAAAACTCATATGTTGACGACAAAATCTTCATGGCGGTAAGACAGAACTAAAAAGGAATTTCTTTGAATTTACACAAACAGAGGTCGATTGCATATCCGTAAAAACAGATATAGTATATACACTTATCCTGGCTGTTCATTAGCGATGTGCTTTCCATATTTTGAAAGTACCTACTACTCTTGGAAAAATATCGTCAAGCTGAAGTTTTTCTTTCAATGTAATTGCTAACACCAAACTAATAAAAAGTAAACTCCACTACACATAACCAATATAATCACCATCGATTTAAACAACGAGGGTGAAATATTTTTGTGTACGAACATTTTTTTTTCTTAAAAACATTTGTTTTCATTAATATATCGCGATTAAGCAAGGCATCGAGGTATCGCAGTTATCTTCAACATGAACGGACCTTAATGGTTTTGTTGTGGATCTGTACGTCGCCTGAAGATGCTCGTGTTAAAGCGAAGAATGTCAGTGGATATTTTATAAAGCACGATCTTCACGTGCTTATTTAAGCTTTCGATGGTAACCGTATCGTTTGGTATAGCAGATATTTTGGCACCTGGCCAATGTAGCCATACCGGGGTACATCGATATCTTGTGGCTCTCTTTTAGTCGCTGTAGGTGGAAATTGGCATTTAGATAAAGGTAAGATGGCACTTGTTGCTTACGGAGTTATTTGACATTCTTTCAACTAGATCGAGAATTGAGTTCATTAGAATAACCTACTGAATGACGTCAAGTAGATTGACACTATACTACCCACGCATTCAAAACAACTTCTAGTACAATTTCCCTTTTAGTGCTATGAAATCAAAAAAATTTCGTTTTATAAGAACTACATATTAATGCACTATTTGGACTTTTTATGATTAAAAAAATCCACATATTAGAGCAATGAGCTTTGGACCTCTACTGTAAAACTGTTTGGCAAGAATGGATGATAACTGATTAGCTCTTGATATGTACTTATTCAACTATATATACTATACTATACAATATTACCTCATGAAATTAAGTAATCTCGTTAAATTACCCTCCAAGCTTAACGGTTATATATACAGACAATATCGTATTCATCTCGCCGCCTACTACCTGCTTTTATGAGTCACTCGATCGGCTACCACAGATGCAGTGGCATAGGAATTAAGAATATGTAAAACATGTGTTACGAACTTTTTTGTTAAGCCAAAAATTGTAATGTGAAATTTTTTCTTTTTCTTGATAACGCCAGATTAAAAAGAGAACCAGGCCAACCTAAGCGAATCAAATGAATGAAATTACAAACTTCGTTGA